CATTTGCATGTTCGATCAAGATGTTTTTGCATACCAAATTTCGTCACGATCGCAAAAGTCCTTCTTGGTGCTTTGATTTTTTTTTTTTTTTTTTTTTTTTGCAAAAGAGTGTATAGATTTGGATTTTGAGAGACTTTCTTTGTGAGTTGCAAAATCACAATTGTATTACATTTCTTTGGACTTCGAATATTTTGCTTATAATGTTTCTACCACTTTTCAGATTAACACATAAAGTGAATAGCTATCATATTATATGAGGAGATAATACATGAGTTTTAGAATAAGTCTTAATTTTAAGACTTACTTAAGACTTATTCTATATTATTATATAATTTAACTAAGACTAGAAGTCTTCGTTAATTTATATAATAAGCCTTAATGTCAATGTCTGAAGTTCCTGAAGTTTATTTAAAATAACATACTCTGAATTTATTATAACTGACGTGATCTTCCTTATTCAGTAATAAATTACTTTCTGAAAACTGATAGGAATACTCCTGTAAGAATATTACAACTGGCATTCTGAGTATATTATTGAGCGCAACAGGAGGAAAGTAAGAAAAGTGAAATTCAGGAGAAGCATGCAACCAATTATGTGCTATGGAGCTACGAGCTGAAATTATTCACTAAAATTAACGGACTTTAATTAAATGGGTATACTTAGCGAAAATCTAATTTGGCAGCTCAAGAAGCACCTGAGAGTAGTTTTAGCAAATAAAGAGCGTTAACTGAATAACCATGGAAGTACAATAGTCTAAGGAATTTAAAATTAACTATTTTTTTTTCTGACACGGAATTCAGGTTTCTAGTGAAAATATCAAAGTTTTATAAGTTTGGCTTATATACAGGATTACCGCAAATGAGAAATCGACTTAGAAATAGCTTTAAACTTTCCAAAGAGAGACAAAAAACTAGTACATCAAATAAGCGAAACTGTTTAAATCATACTTAATAAATGTTCTGCGTTACTTTCTTTTTGTTACACGAATAACGTCAATACGACAATCTAATTCCTGCCCTTACTCCATTCAGCCATGGCCTTCTTCACTCACTTTAAAACAGTAACAATACAATTCTGAGATCACGTAGGCGTCTGAGTGAAGATGAAATGAACACAAATGTTTTTATAAACGCCCAAAGGGAACCGGCGCACGGTATCCTTCAACTAAGGAGGCCAGCAGTGGAAGTCCACTCATGAATTTGTAAGTGGTACACGCGTGACGATAATATTTTTGACTGATAAACATGTATTTATTGATAAATATTTGCAAGATATCCTAAAATTTGGAGATTTATTAAAATTATTTATATCAAATTAACATGCGAGTAAAAAATGACAAAATGCTCATCTGAAATCAGACCTTTCATTTTGATAACCCTGCATATTAATCCTACGCTGCCAAAATAAACTACAAGTACATCAAGAATTTAAGATTGAAGTAAAATTTTAATATTTAATTTATTAGTAAAAAAAAATTCTGAAAAGTTTCAGATTTTAAATTCCGTCCAAATGGGCGTTTTTTTAACGTTTGTGTGGTACCTTTATTTATTAATATCATGTTCTACGTACTCAAAGTATAAAAATTCAGTCAACAGCAATATCGCAAAATTAATACTCAAATGAGCACATAACTTTAGAATTTTCAGATACACAGTCTCGCACGCTGGAGAAGAAAAAACAATTCTCTTTCCTGTACACTGTTGCCATTGCCTCGCTTTGAAGTCCATGAGTTTAGTTTTCTAATCAAAAATTCGTTACACTTGTTACAAAATCTAAAATCAGATAATAAAACAAATTCTCAAATTCCAAATTTGAGATTTCTAGATGCGCCATATTCGGGTGGAAACGTACGCTTATTCAAAACTGGATGGCTCTAGGTACTGTTGTTTTATCACTGAGAGAAACATACACTTATGAAGATTCTTCATTATTTAATTTCTTTAAATATAAGACAGAGTGATAATATATGGTGGCAACGATTTGAAAAGTGATACAGTCTTTTAAAGTTTTCGACGCAAAATGCCAAAACGAAATTAATAGTCCTTCAGGGGAAATTGCTCCTTTGGACTAATAAAAGTAGTTTGGATATTGAATTTTATGCTGAAAAAGAAGTGATCGAAATCTGTTAAGAATATGATAAATTTTTAAGCCTTTGCGGCACAGTGTGTCCAGTCTGGACACACCTACAAATTTCCTTCTGTACGCACAGAAAAACTGAATGAAAAAGGATTTATAGTTTACTATAGGTTACTCTGAACCTTTTTTATTTATAGTAGATGGCAGCTCAACACAAACCAGTCCGTATATTTTAGCCATGTTTAGTTTTTTAAGACCCTCATTTTTTCAAAGAAATCTTCCAGATTTTTTACGGTATAAAGGAATTGTTTGAAAAGAAATTTCTATGTTATTTTTTGGGCTGTATGCTAATCTCCTTATTCTATATTAGTTTTAAATTTTTACCTTGAAATCATGCCTAAAATCAAACGGCGAACGCTAGGTGTGCCCAGAGCGGGATCACCGATAATCTAAGACAACGGAGAGTCTGTATTCTTTGTTTCTCTGCATCTCATCGGTCAGTTCATTGACAATAATGCTCGTCTCAGCACTCTTTTCGAAGCTCTATTCAATTAGTGTGCCACTTCGGGTACACCCACAGAATTAAAACGATAAATGCTATCTTCACAAAAGTTTACTTGTGTACTCCTCTAGGCCTAATTAGACTGCCTACTTTTTTTAATCAAAGCTCCGAATATAAAATATAGCGTGCCGGAAAGGGTTAAACGGTAAGGACTGGTAGACGAATATTACTATGATTTCTCTTTAAAAAAATTTTAAAATTTAGTGGAACGTGCTGATGCACCTATGAACGTCTTTTACTTGATCATGAATATTTTGCATACTCCCCCTGTAGAATGATCTGTAGGTTATAGTATATTCTGTAGGTTACGAAGGTTCTGTAGGTTTCGTTTATAAAAGAGCTGTTTTCAATGATCAGAATTTGGATTTTTTTTTTTTTTTTTTTTGGAATCTTACATTCAATGAGGTTTTGCGCGAATTATTTGTTTTTTAAATCCGTTTTAATTTTTTTTTTGTGTATTATCTGCTTTTGATTGTTCAGTGTAAAAGTTTCATCGATGCTTATTTTCTTTGTCTCAAGATTTACATTTACTTGATACTGCTTCTTAGTGGTTTAAACTTTGTAGAGACATTAGTTTTTTTTTTTTTTTTTTTCCGCTATAGATGTGAAAAATGTGCAGTGCCTTTGCCGGGACTTGAACCTAGACCTCTCGAATACGCGCTTTCAATTCCAGCACGAAGACGTGCTGGAAGGAGGAGGAAAATACCTTATACACTCCCCCTTTTAAAGAGCAACTGGGGACAAAGGGGCCCAATCGCAAAATCCCGATTGTGACGAATTATCGTCTCCCACCTTTAGTTGGGGCGTCATTTGTAGAATCATTAGGTTAGTGTGTGTGTGTGTGTGTGTTTGTTGTTGCTAGAGACGTGAAAATGTGCCAAACCATTATCGGGACTCGAAACTGGATCACTCAAATACTCGTCGAGACCATGAAGGCACCACGAATTACACCACGAAGGCATGCGGAAAAGAGGGAGAAAATGCATTATATATTCCTCCTTTTAAAGGAAGACTGGGGATTTGGGCACCCAATCGCCAAACCCTGGTAGTGACGACTTGTAGTAACCACCTTTTAAATCCGACGGCTCTGCAATGTCATTAAGGTTTCTGATGCTGGAGACGTGAAAAATGTGCAGTGCTCTTCCCGGGACTCGGACCCTAAACGTCTTGAATAGGCCTCGGGTATGCTTCCATTACGCCATGAAGGCACATGAAAAGGAAAGAGTAAAGACCTTATAGCTTTAGTAATTGAAATTCAACCCATTCAAATGCAAAGTTATAATGGTTACATAAAAAGATGAATACTTATTGCACAATAAGAGTATCACTTGTGTACGTTCCTACAGAAGAAGTTACTTAAATAAAATATTTATGAATTATCTTGGAAAAAAAATTTCAGCGGAAATATCATATTTCATATAGTATCGCATTTCAAAGGAAGTATCATAATCTCTTAGGCAAACGCGAAAAGGTTATTAAAGTTATTAAGGACAGAACTATTTAAAAATTCTAAAATCACTTTATGGAGGCAAAACACATGTCCTTAAATTGATCTATAGGCAAGGAATATTGCCGGTTATTTGCCATGCATCAAGAATTTGTGACGGTTCTTTACTGAAAAAAAGTAAACCGCAAATTTCTAAGGAAAATTAAAAGAAGATTTCTTTTAAGAATTTTTCGTGGCTACAAAACTATTTGTTACGAGACTGTTTTTATTATTGTTGGTATTCCACCTATCGATAATGAAATTTTCAGTAAAACTGGGATGAAGGAGTGCATGTGCACGCAATTCTTGTCAAAGTTTCTTGATGCAAATCTTCTAGTTTCTTCTTTGCCGCATCCTTTTAACAGGAACCCTCTATCAATTGTTGTCAATTCCGATACTATTCTTGAAGAGTACCAGTTAATTTGTTTTGCTGACGGAAGTAAGATGAATGGTAATTTTGGCGTTGATTTTGTTGCTTATGAAAATAAGCATGAAAGATACTTCAAAAAGTACAGTATTAGTGATGAGTGCTTCTGTTTCCAAGGCAGAGTTTCTGTGCTTAAACCATGCTGTTAAATGAATTTAAAATTCTTGTAATGATTTGAAATCAAAGCCACATTTTAATATGTAGTGATTCTCTTTCTTTGTTACCGGTACTACAGAAAAATAGTGTTTCAGAGAACTTGCTGTTGAAATTCAGCTTATTATTAAGATCTTGCAAGAACTTGATATCGGTATCCATTTTGCTTATGTTCATGGGAGCTGTGGAGATTTCGGGAATGAGACGGCTGATGCTCTAACAAAGCTAGCCACGAAACTTCACATTAATTTAAATCTTCGAGTTCCAGTTTCTCACTAGAAGTAATTTTATAGAAATGATGAGAAATGATGCGATGGAACAGAGATTATCTTGCTCCAAAGGGACAAAGGAGCAAAATTTTAAGAGCTACTTAAAGCGATCTGGACTTATTTTAAGAGCTTTGCGCAACTGTGGTAACGACGATGGAGATGTTAACCGTATACAATTATTTGAGTGTAATCATCACGTCCACTACAATTTGTTTTTCTATTGCCGGGCGCTTAGCCGACTTAGGCTTGGCCACTACTAAGGCTAGTAATGGTGCCCACTTTACTTTGAAACACCTAATAGGTAAACCACCGTTATCTCCTATGAAGAAACAGACGATTATTCGAACCCGAGTCCTTCGGTATCGCAGTAGGCTCTTCTAACCACTATACCGTCTGGAAGGCTAGCACAAGAAGATACTTCAAGCTTCTTTTAAGGCAATTTTGGACACCAGTTACTTCTGAACTTTGATCGATTATACATACAATTGGCGCTTTGCTGAATTTAGATAGTTGAGTTCTTATAATTTTATTACTTTATTCTATTTCATTTTTTAAAGTTTTTGTTTTATTTAATTTTTTTTTAAATTTTCTTTCTTTTTTTTTTTGCAGTACGTTTGTTTATTAATTTTATTAACGCTATAACTTACTTCTGCAAGCCTCGTGGTATATTTGTGTTAAAAATATACATAGTATGTCCGAAATAAAATTTTAAATATTTAATTGAAAGCAAAATTAGAGGAACTTCAATCACATACTACATCTCATAAAAACAAAACAAATATTATTTTCGAGCAAAATAATCGTAGGAAAAATCACAGTAAAGGAAGAGGGAAAGGTGGTTTCAGGTAAATTAAATTCAGTATAGAATTATAACTTATCAAACGAAAGAATAAAAGAACTGAAGTTTCTGAAAAATAAATGTCTGGTTCAGCGAAAGTCATAATGCAAAAAGTATTTATTAGATCATCTTTGGTGTCACCAAGTGGAACTAATGTATCAGCAACAGAACTGACCGGAAATGAGAAGAGGGGAGAAGAACTTTAAAGAATCAGACCTTAAAAGGGCAATATAAGTATTAGAAAGATTAGTAGTGAATGAAGGCATTCTGTCGTGATTTGATGACTGTGTACTGAAGGCATTTTAGTAATGATTCTATTTCCTAAATTTCAGAAGATAAGCAAGTATATTCGTGGATATGGTTTTGAGATATTTGATCCAATTTCCTACAGGAACATTTGCAAACAATCAGTCAACATTAAAAGCGCTTCTATTTGAACGATAAGAGGGTATTCACTGAAAACATCCAAAAGCTGTTTTGAGGTAAAATCATTGCTTAAGAGCAACGGAAAATATCTGTTGATTAAATGCTACGCTAGCGGATATGAAGTAATTCCTAAATTAGAAACGCAGTGGGAGAAAGAATTTCCGTGATTTGTTAATTTCGAGGAAGCATTCAATCTAGCACAATTAGCAGTAATCAAAATCAGGAAATTTTTAAAATGAATGGGAGAACATGTGATGATTACACATCTTTAAAATTCATATAAGACTTCTGTGACGCACCATCGGCGTACGTGCTTTTGTCTATGCCAATTATATCACATTATATCACAAACCTTACTAAATATGGATAGATTCGGACTCAGATGACTTTCCTGCAATATCCTTTTATCCAGTTTAGACTTGAAGCATATCGGTGATATTTGGAACAATATGTTTATATGAGATTCAAGATTCTTTTTCCGTGCTTTTGAAAATTTGGTGAATTTAAACACTATTTAGATAGTGGTAATAGTTATAGGATTGAATCGCTTTAACGTTAGTAAAAATAGAATTGCATCTGAATATTTCCTTGAAAATAAAGAAAAGAAAAATTCTATTATTGGCTCCCTAATAATGAAGTGCTTTTAATCTTCTGACTACGGGATCATCATGACTTTAAGATTTACTTTATAAAGAACCTATACCTAGAGAGGTCAGATTTTTGTAAACATTTGTATTGAATAATTGTTCTAACAACTTCGGTAACAAAATTAAGACATCCTGAGGTCTTTCTGGTTCAGAATAAAGAAATCAATATTGACAGTGATATGATGTCATTCGACTCTAGATAACAGAAATAATTTTAAATCTGAAATGGCTTTACTTACACTTAAAATTGTAATACTGGAACTATAACTAAATATAATTTATGACGAACTTCTGAAATTTAAATAAAGTATATGAAATAAAATAAAGGAAATTTTTATTTTACTTTCTTTAAATTACTTAAAAGGAAGTGGTGAGCTGGAGAAATTTTCAGAATCGCAGCGCTTTTTAAGCTTTTTGTCGCATAAAGACGCGCCTATTAAATTGTCAATGTTCAGTTTAGATGTACTCGATTAAATTTAATCCCTTCTTTCGCGGCATCATTATTGCGACCAAGAAATGCAAAGAATTGCTTATGGAAATTAGGAGTTCGCATGGTAAATTATTCATTAAACAGGGAGATAGAAAGCGTGAAATTTATCGGCAAGAAAGTCCAGATAGTAATTCTTAGCGCCTAGGGTAATTCCGTTTTCTCGACGATTCTACGCATGAGATATTTTAAATAGCGTTTCAATCAAACGGCCTATCGTTAAATTTCTAAGCAAAGTAACAGAAAGAAGAAACATCAGCTCTTTTTTTGCTTTTTGCTTTTTTAAGCGAAGCATGAGTTGATAAGCAATCCCTGGATAATTTTAGGATAAAATCATCGCTCAAAGCAACACCAAAAATATAAATAAAATTAACTTAGAAGCTCAGACAATATAAAAATTACGTCATAATTAACTACTTATTTGTGGTAATATAATGAAAGGAATATTTCGTTAAGATGAAATATAATAGCAAACCCATTTAAAAATTGTATTCAAACCTTTCAAACATTATTACGTCAGTTACTCATGAAATTAAATTAACTTTACAAATCTAGTTGCGCCATATATCCCCTGAAGTTTATGTAGCCGAATAAGATACTACAAACGTAATCTTGTAAGCTATTTTGCAGTATGTTATACACAAGAAATGTAATAATGCAGTGTGGTATGCAAAATAAATATAATTAATTTCAAACTGTTATGAACGAGAAATATAATATTGCTATGTATTATGTAAAAAGAAATATAATATTTCCTAGATTTCATTTGTGTTATCTACACAAATCTGGCCTAATTCCCTCTACGATACGCATCTCGGCCTATAAACCCAGGCACATTATCTGATTAAACTTTCATTTCAATTAGAAGGATTTCTATTATTGAACAGACACAACCCGCAGGAAATATCAAATCTCAATTTTTTAAATTTTTTCTTGGTAAATTGTGGTTATATTGGATTCATAAACAGAAACGCAAAAAAGTCCCCCCCCCCAAAAAAAAGGGACGGGGGGAAGGGTAACCAAACAAATATCATGTGACATGCGTAATTTGAAAAGTATAAGATTTAAGTCACTTAAAAAGGCTGAGATGAAAAACAGATGTCGTGTGCCAAGAAAATGCTTTGCGTTTTATGCAAGTATTCGCTTATTTAACTTCGCTATCCTACTTCGTGTTTCGTATATTTAGCCAACTGTAAAGTGCTATAATAAATGGACATTCATGAACGTTACAATGGCCATATTTTTGTCTATGAGTGTAAAGTCAAAATAATGATTATTACAATTAATGTAAAACAATTAACTAATTTAACTTTCATAGAAAATAAATTCGCATAACCCTTCATTTAAATTCGGTATCACATCAGTGTGAGTAACCCCAAAACTCAGATAATCTACTATAAGTAAGTGTTAAGAATTCTGATTAAAATGAACACTGTGCACTTTTAATCCGCTATTAATCTTTTAATAAGCCTTTAGTCCACCAATGAAACAATGAATAAACCAAACAACACTGGTATTTCTTTCAAGCCTCCTGGCAACTGAACAGTTTGACTGCGTTGTGTTCCCTCCCAATTACCTGTATAACTGAATATGAATCAATTTTACTTATCGATGAAAGCAAAACCTTAGAGAACCCCTCCAGAGTGCCTAATCGAAATAAATGAATAAACCATTGCAGGTTCATTTCCCAAAAGCAACGCGTTCTAAATAGTACCTGTTAAGATTTTGCAGATGCGTCATTCACCTCTATCTTTTTTACTTATAAATTCTGCTGGCTGGTTAATTATTAAAATCAAAGCATGCTATAGAAGGAGGTTTGCGGGAGAATTTGTTAAATACATGTCTGGGAAGGAATCGGTTTGTATTCACGTTGCATATAGGGTAAACTATCTAACCCCAAGCTAGCTCATTCGCTTGAGATTTGAATTCTGGTTGACATACCAGGTATCATACTTTTTAAACTCTAGCCCACTGCTGAGCCTTGGTAATTATGTTTCACTTAAGCAAATAATTTATGTTAAACAATAAAAATTTCATATAATTCGTTTTAATCTTGTTTCAGTCCTGCCTGAAGTTTTTTTATATAAATAAAATAATAAAATAATTATAAATAAATAATAATAAAATAAAATAAAATATAAGCAATATTTAAATTTTATAAATAATTTATAAAATTAAAATAATTATATAAATTATATAAATTATTTATAAAATTTAAATATTGCTTATCATTATTATTAAACACCAGTTTTGACCAAATACTCGTAACTGAAAAGACAACAATTCTTGTTTATTGATAATTTAATTTTTCTACTTTTCATTGCTTTTACAAAGCCAACACGAAGATTCTTCTTTATTTGAAAATTATCGGAAGAACTATTTTAAAAGCAGCGCATATTGGCAAGAACTTCCAAGAAAATAATTCGCAACAAACCCAGAAGTCCGCTAAACTTCCTTTGACAGCTAACAACTAATCAAGTTAAGCAGCTGCAGAATGCCTGAAAAAGAAAGGAGGCGTGAAATATTAAAGTGTAATTTATGAAATAGAATACTTAATGTTGTTCTAACAATGGTTCGAAATTTAGCAGTCTTTTCTAAGTGAATACTAGGATGTTCTTTGCTCGTCTCACTTAATACACAAAATGCGTTTTTTTAATAATACTCGTATATGCATTCTGAAGTGAATAACTACGTTTAAGGAGAATGGACAGATACTTAACTTCCCTCTTCTAGGGAATAAAGAACTCATGATTTAATTGCGATGCCAAAA